CTGCTGCCTTTACAGCATTTTTGTTCAAACAGCTAGATGAAGATTCTCTGCAGACAGCAGTACATGCTCTCAAATGATACACTGGTTTAATCAAATGCCTGTTTTCTGGTCACATGAATAGAACTCTAATCCTTTTTTCTTTAGTCTTAACTCAGTTGCTTTATTGCTTATCTTGAATAAATGGCTACTGGCTGAAATCTTGAGCTTTTCCTTGCCCGAGACACTGTTACTGTTTACAAGTGTTTGACTGAGAAATATTGTACCTATCTGTGCCTAATGAAGCACTAACCAGACTAAATGATGAATGGCAGTTTAATCAATTCTGTTCATTTGGTAACCAGCAGAAGCATATGGAACATAACTTTTAACCTCTTTTTTAGAAACACCTGATTTACTCCAAAATTTGACCACAATTCTGCTTTCCAAAGTTTTCTTCCACTTTTCAATGCCTAAGGAGAAACTTTGCTTAATGTGTCTATGCTTTAGGATATAGAATTAGAAAATGTGTATTTAATTTTCTTCTTCAAGAAGTTTGTCTATCAACTCTTACTGTCCTGGAATGTAAAATTGTTTCATTATTGGGTATTGGTCAAAGCCTTCGGAGATGAGTAAAACATGGGTTGTCTGCTGATAATCTTAGTTAAGTGGTATCTATAAATACTCATCCCAAGCCTTAATGAAAAGATGCAACCTGTTTTCATTAAGTTGTGTTATTCTAGAACCACTTCTTCACCAATATATGCACACATATCCCTAAAATTAAATGCTGCTTTCTGAATGCATCATCACGATGCATAAGCAATGAAAAGGTATGTAATTACTACATTCCAAATAATTTACTTCTAGAAACAAAGTTAAATTAGAGGTTATTGCTGGAATTTTCTGACACAGAAACACAACTCCCAGTTTCAGAGGGAGGGAGTGCCATAGTTAGTTTTGCAAATTCTTGCTTCATTTTGATATATATTGTGGAGTGCTGAACATATTGTTTTGAGTGAGGGATTTTTCATGCAGTTAGTTATACAGACATGGTTGTATGACACACGTAGATGTTTGCACATGGAAGTTGCAGAAAAATGTATGTAGAAAAATGTAATTGAACAAGTTAAAGTTTATAACCAAATTCTGTATCCTATTGGTAGCCAAGAGGGATGTTTTCTCTTAAATTTACGCTCAGGCAACATGCAGCCCTTGAGGATTTTTCATCCAGAAAAGATACAAATGCAAGTTTGTAATTTGTTTTCCTTTTGAGATGCAGGAAGTTCACAGGTTATCTGGAATGTTAGCATCACAGAAGCTTTCCTCAGCTATTGAGAATCCATTTTAGTTGTGATGTAGTTAGTATGTCTCAGATATTTTTTTCCTCTGATTTCCCAGTACATCTGCCACTGGCTTAACTCAGTGGGATGACAGGGACTTGTGTGAAGTACTTTTTGAGAGAAACCAAGAGCAGGAGCTGTAAAGAGGTGGTTGTCATGGTGGAGAGAGGGGGAGCACATGGCTGCTCAGCCCACTGTCACACCTCTCAGCCAGTGCTTCTGGGGAATGGGGTCAGTAGCTCCCCAGAGCTGTGGGCTTTGAGCTTCTTTCATTTATGCTGAAAGAGGTGACAAGAAAGTCCAAGAAAGCCCATCCCAGGAGTCATCAGCATTTGGGCAGTAGCTTAGCTCAGTGACTATGAGCAGCCATATGCCCTCTTCCTTTTCACTCACCTTTTTCCAGATTCTCCTCCTATGCTCAGCCCTTCTCATATGTTTCCATGTTGTCATCCTGTTGCCATTCATCTTCTCCCAAGGGTGCTCTCTCTCTGCCATTCCCATATCTCCAGGATTTATCTGGGAGCATGACTGTGCTGCTTGGGAAGCACTCATATGGAGATCAGCTGCTGTGCCTTAACTGGTCTCAACACTTACCAACAATAGTCCTGCTACCTCTGCACTGCCTTCAAACACCCAAGAAGTGTTTATTTGTATACATTGGTTTTGGTAAATGCACATGCCTTCAGCCTGGCATTGATTTTAAAAAAGTGAAAGGTAAAAAGTATTATTTAACTGCTGGTAAAGGATACAAAAGCATTGTTGCTGGCCACTTGGTCTATAAGAAATCTTTCTAATGTTGCATACTTTTCTTTTTCTTTCCTTCTGTAGGGGAGTGGGTTGTATCTTTGTAGAAATGATTCAAGGGGTCGCTGCTTTTCCAGGAATGAAAGACATTCAAGATCAACTTGAAAGGATATTTCTGGTGAGTTCTTTATTGCTGAAGTTATGTGCCTAAAACAACAAAGGATTGATTCATAAATGTTCATGTATTTCTTTGTGTCAGTGATTTAATTACTAATAGAGTTGAGGATCAGAAGCCTAGTCAACTGTAAACTGTACCTAGCTTGAAGACTGTGTGAAAAGTTCAGTTTCTAATATTTTTTCAACTAATTATTATTTTAAGTGAAAGGTTTTATACAATTGTGGAAAAAGCTTTCCAAATGTAAAGCAATGGAAATCCTTTGTCATCCTTACTTTGCCAGTGATCAGAAACAACAGCTCTGGATGGTGCTTTATTAATATTCTACTAATATTGTCATGTCAATGGCAAGTGTTTTTGTAAGAGTGACATATAAAAGAGAAGTAAGGTAGGAAATGAGGTGAGAAACAGAATGGGAAATCCAGAATCATGCTTATACTCAGGTTCAACAGGAGTCCCTGACTTCTGCTTCTGAAGCCTGGTTGGGCCTTCATAAGGTATGTGGATTGCTCATAGGCAGTGATGACACATCTTCATTGAGGGTGAAAGAAGAGGTAATTTATCTCAAGAATAGTGATCATTTACATAGTGTTTTTTCAAGGGTTGTGTTTTTTGGGTTTTGCTTGTTTGTTTGGGGCTTTATTTTAATTTGCACTTTTTCCCATTGTGCTCTGGGTTTGTCAGTTCCCTTAAAAAAGGCTCAGGAATGTTTCTTGGCTCCCTGATCAAGGTTCATATTTACTCCAATGCTTCCTGGGAGCTGTGCTGTTGGGAAGTGTGTTTATTCAGGTCACTGCTCACCCAGATGGGCCAGAGTGGTTCCTGGTACTGTGGGGTGGCCATCAGGGAAAAAAAAACATTGTAAGAGCAACTTCTCTCAACCTGCCAATCTCTGGTTTGCTTCTGACCACAAACTTAGAAGGGAAGCATGAGCATACCTCTTGCTTTTAAAAGTAATTTTGTTAGTAGCCATTTATTTCAAATGCAGAGGATTTATTTGATATTCTCTTTTGGTCCATGGGGAGGGAAAGAAAGTCTTGATAATGTGTTCATAGAATTTACATTCTTTATTTTACTCAGAATTACTTGTAGTATACCTCTGTCGTTGGGATATCAGGGAATTTAGCAACTGCTTTTAGGAATGACTCATAAAAGAAATCTCTCTCTAAAACAAGACTTTATTTGATTGTAATATAAAAATAACTCATTTTCTGTAAAATGGTTTGTTATTCTGCCCTCTTGGCTAATATCCTGAAAATTCTGTGCTGTGGAAAAATAGCTGTGCTGCAACACAGACTGGAAGCAGCAGTTCTGAGCAGTTCCTGTGACGTGTCTCATTGCTTTATTTGTTTGCCAGCTTGTATATTTTAAGCTAGCAACTTCTGGGCCAGTTTCCTGCTTTTGCCTTCTTAACTTATTATGCTTCTCATTTATCGAGATGAAATTTTCTCCTTATTTATAGAACATGAAATTTTGAAAACAATAAAATATTCTTTGGGGTTTCATCTCATTTATTGTGGTAAAATTTTAGTGACTGTTTTTGCTAAGGAAATAAAGTCCACTTCTAACAGCAGAAATCAGTGCTTCCTTTTTTGTACTGTATCACAGAATCATAGAATCAGCCAGGTTGGAAGAGACCTCAAGAATCATCGAGTCCAGTCCTACCATGGTTACTAGACCATGGCACTAAGTGCCACATCCAGTGTCATCTTGAAAACCTCCAGGGATGGTGAATCCACCACCTCCCTGGGCAGCACATTCCAATGTCTGACTACTCTCTCTGTAAAAAATCTCTTCTTAATATCCAACCTAAACCTCCCCTGGCAGACCTCATGATATATAGTGCAAAAAGTGATAGTGATAGATATATAAGCCTATTTTTGTATGCCTTTTGTAAACCTGTATAGTTCTATTTTCTTCTCTATCATTGCAATTTTTTTGTGTTAAAATGCCAAGATAAATACAACCTAGGATGAGTTTTGAGGCCTGCCAGGTTTTTTAATTCTATTTTAAAACTGCAGCTGCAAATACTGAGAACAGTGTTTAAATAACAAGGGATAATTTAGTTATACTGTTTCTTTAACTTGATCTTTTACAAACCTTCAAATAAATGGGTGAAATTTTGGACCAGATAGTTTTATGGTCCATTGCAAATCAGAGTAAATTTTTAAATCCCAATTAATTAGGCTGTCTAATGGAAGTGTCTAGTTCCCCTTAGCTAAACAGTTTCAGCAAGTGCCTTCCTAATGTACTCTAAGCATCATTAAGAATTTAAGTTATCTATTTAAAAGTTATAAAACAAAGGATTATTCTTGTTTGGTTTTGTATTTGAACAGAAGGATTAAATTCATTAATTCCCCAGTGAATCATGTATAGTATAGTAGTTAATAGTACGAAATTAATAGGTTGTTTTACCAGATAACTAATACAATTAACTCCCACACAGTGAACACTTACACAGCTGTGAAAGAAACAGATCAGCTAATAAAAGACACTTTCAGAAAGTCTTCCCATAGTCCAAATCTTCAACATCCACCAGTGATGATTTTCTTACAACAGAGGTTTGTCTTCTGAAAATGGTGTAAGGTACAGTTCACCTTCACACTAACCTAGTAATCCTTTTGTTCTTCTAAAACACATAATTTAAAATAAAACGTATATTAATCCATGTCATATCTGTTGCTGTTGTTATTAGCCATAGCTGAATGTCCTTAACACGTAGGAGTCCAGGCTGCAGCTTGAGGCTTTTAGGGAATTGGTTACATTGTATTAGGAAAGTTGCAAAACGCAAAGAAATAGTAGCCAGGAAAAGTGAATAAAATGTAACACGAGTAACAGTTTAAAAATCTTAAATGGCTGTTTGATTTCCTATTGTATAGTTCCCATTATTATGTAAATGAAATTAAAATTCATTGTATATGTGCTGTTTCAGCGATTATCAAGTGGAAGCCAAGGAGAGATTCTCTAAATGCTTTTGATTATCTCTACTGCTGGCTGAGGTACCACTACATAGCAAAAGTAGATGCAAACCCATCACACTGCACGTTTCTTCCTCATTATGACTGATGTTTATTTATGTTTAATGACATCTTAATTAAGTGACTGTATATAATAGATTAAGAACAGAGGTCAATCTTTCAGTTTTGTTAAGGCCTTTTCTCTTTATACTTGTCTTTCCTGACTTGTATTGTTTCAATTTGTGGGATTTTAAACGATAAGATAAACTGATTCTCTATTTCTGTTATCGCAGCTGTTTATCATAAACATTCTCAGGTTCCATTACAACCATAGGCCTCAATAAAATATCAAAGGTTTTTATGCAGAATCTGTTCTCAGAATTGGACTTAGAGATGTTGCTGAATAAGCAAGCTGCAAGTTGTTATTGTCACACTTTGCATCCGATAATATGAATTCTTTTTTCTGTCTATACTTAAAAGTGTTGATAATCTCTTTTAAAAAACCCCTGTACTTACCAAATAAAATGGGAATCACACATTTAAGTAAGTTGCTTTTTCAAAGAGGTTTAACAATGAATAAAATGCCTTAATGCCAAGGTGTTTTGGTTTAATCAGTATACTTTTACGTCTTTGCTCCTGCTTTTTTTCCTATGTATTGAAACTGAAGTTACTTTCTGGATAGAAGTGCATCATAGAAAATAAGAAACAAAAGTGTAGAATCATAGAATAAAATTATTAAGGTTGGAAAAGACCTCCAAGGTCATCAAATCCAACCTTTGACCGAACACTACCTTGTCAACTAAATGACAGCACTAAATGTCACATTCAGTCATTTCCTGAACACTTCCAGGGATGGTGACTCCACCATCTCCCTAGGCCACCAGTTCCAATGCTTGACAATCCTTTCAGTGAAGAAATTCTTCCTGGTGTCCAACCTGAGCCTCCCCTGGTGCAGCTTGAGGCCATTTCCTCTTGTCTTGTTGCTAGTTGTTTTGATTACAGTGTATAAGACCTATCAAGTCTCTTACCTTAAAGTATTGAACTGATGATGTGTCATCATTTCCCACAAACTGTTTGCTTTGCCATTCTCTGAAACAAAGTAGGTTCAGGTTTTGTTGCAAGGTGATAAGTCTGATGGGCTGATGCTGTACTTTGTCAAGTACACATTGAGCACTAAAAGCATAATAGGAAGGGTATGTGAGGCAATGTGTTGAATCAAAATGAAACTACACAAAATTGGGAAATACCATTTGGCTTCTAAAACGGTGTAGCTAAGATCTTTATCAGTAGTTTATTCCTGTTTATCATTTCTTAGCATACATATCTCTATATGCAAACTTTGAGGTTTTGTGATCAAGGACAGCCTGCCATTGTAAATATAGAATTTGATTATGTCTAGAAGTAAAAGGTGCACCAAATGCCTTCAAGCTAGCCCTGTACTAGGGAGAATTGACAGCTCCTTGGATCTGGTGATGATCAGCATGAATAGTAGAGTGCTAAAGCTGATTACTCTGAGCAGCCTGCAGTATGCCTGTGCATGCCTTACACTGAGCCACACTGGAAGTAGCAACTTGGTTACAACTCTGATTCTTACATAAGGATGTGCTTTTATACTTGCTGTCCTTAACAGATTCAAACTAGATCAGAGCTGAATTTCTTGTGTTAGCTCTATTTTCCTTCTGCAGCAATTTTTTTTCAAGTGGGAAGGTATTTCTGTCCTTTCCACTTTACGTGAGGTTTCTGAGAGCCTCTACAGATCAAAGTGAATTTTCCTCCCAGGCTCCGAAGCCTTCCTGATAAGGGAGTAATCCGTGCGTTGGCTGAACTTTAGTCTTGGTGCCAACTACACTGCAAATTAGATTTCACTGCAAGGATATTGTACAAAGAGTTCTCCTGACACTTTGTAGGTCTCTGCACAGGCAGGACAATGGCATTTAAATGCTGTTTTATCTGTAAATGGGCATTCACTCTGCAAACACGGTTGTGGGATGCATGCACACTGCAGGAGCATCATGCTGCAGGTAATGTGTCACAGCAGGAGTAGGA